TATGCTAAACATGGTTTTTCCCTATTAAGTTTTTTCATATAGGCCTCTGAGCTATATGCTTATGTGAGGACTTTTCATTTTTTGTAAAAGACTAAGTCTTCCTTTCAAATTTAGGCTAGAAGAAGAAGAAAAATTTTTAAATGCTGAAAGTTACTATAAGAAAGCTTTGGCTTTGGATGAGACATTTAAAGATGCAGAGGATGCTTTGCAGAAGCTTCATAAATATATGCAGGTGATTCTTTATTTCCTCTTAGAAATTTACTGATTTTGAAATTAATACCAATACTTAACTCTCTTGTAGGGAAGACTATTATTAAATTGCTTAGTTAAGACAGTATGACTTATTTATTTTCACAAACAGCTTTTCCTAATTGTTTTGACATTGTCATAGTGCATCTTTGCTAATCCTAAAAAGTAAAATAGCCTGATGAGAAAACTTCTGTTGACTAAATTTGGTATGTGGTTTTGAAAAACTGTCCTTGCAGTGAGCTTTCTTGGTATTTAGAAAACTTAATGTGGTATTATATTTGAGCTAATTATGAAAACCTTTTTGAGAAATATATTACACTGTCTTTTCCTGTAATACTGATGATGATGTTTTCTCATGCATTTTCTTCTGAATTGGACCATTGCTGCTGTGTCTGTGACATCTGGTGCTGCTCATCCCCATCCTCAAACTGGAAAATGGTTTCTTATGTAATCATGCATCCAACTGGGCTGTGCTATTTTTTAAATGGTTTGTATTTGAACATGGCAATTCCCCTCCCAATTCACCTTACTGGAATTTCTTTACTTGAATTTTATTTATAAAATTTGTGTCCTACTTAAACTTTGAATTTTTTTTTTTTTAAATAATTTTTCATGTATTTTTTTTTTTCCTTTCCTGGACTCTGGGCCATGGGTACCAATGCGATGGTTTCCCCTTTTTTCATGGAATATCAACTGCAATATGGTCCTCAATATTGTTCTGGCCATGCCAATGATTAATGCCAAACACCTGTACGGTTAACTTTTATATGTTAAAAATACTTGTATAATGCTGGATATATGGTGATTTGGGTATACCACATTTGATTCCTGGTTCCGGGGGGTGGACTTCTGAAAATGGTGTTGTATATATTCTGCTATTTTTAACGTGTGATTTTTTCTGATATCTGGGTTCTAAAAGAAATCTTTGGAATTAAGAGAAAAACAAGCTGAAAAGGAAGAAAAGCAGAAAACAAAGAAAATAGAAACAAGTGCAGAAAAGTTGCGTAAGCTCTTAAAAGAGGAGAAAAGGTAAACTATAATATTCAATTTTTTTTTTTTTAACTTAAAGCAACTACTGAGTTGAACCAAAGTGCTATGTCGAGGTAAAGTAAGTAAAAATATATAAGTATTTCGATTCATAATCTGACTGTTAAGGGTACTTACCAAGTACATATATCACAAATTTTTCTTAAAAGAAATTAAGGCTACAATTCTGGGGGGGGAAAAAAAGGAGAGAAAATTAAGTTTAGAATTAAAATGTTATTTTAGTTACCTAGTATTTTTGAGAACTAGAGCTAGAGCAGCAGTTCTCTATTATGGGTGATTTTTGTCCCCGGGAACATTTTTGGTTGTCATAATTGGTAGTTAGCTACTGGAATCTCGTGGGTAAAGGTCAGAAATGCTGTCAAACATTATACAATGCACAGGATACCCAAACATTCTACCCTCATCGCAACAAGAATTATTTGAACCAAACGTCAGTAATGTTAAGATGAGGAAACTGTGCAGTAGAGGTAAACGGAAAACCAGTTCTTCTGTGTTCAGATGGTCTTCAGTTTTTAAGGTAGTGATGGAAACTCATTTAGAAGTGGTTTTGCTTATACTGACACCTGTCTACACAAGTATTTTTACCCAAGTAAAACTGGATCCTGTAGTCACTAATATTATTAAAATAGTGCTTATCTAAAGCCACAGGGTTTTTGTTTGTTTTTTTAATGAAATATTTAAAGAGAACAAAATAGGACTAAAATCTTTTTGGATAATTAAGGCACATTTCTTTACATCACATACCTAATGAGTTAACTACATTTTTTTAGGCTAAAGAAGAAAAGAAGAAAATCAACTTCCTCTTCAAGTGTTTCTTCTGGTGATGAATCAGTTTCTTCATCATCCTCCTCTTCTTCTGATCACAAAAGGCATAAGAAACATAAGAGGAACCGCTCGGAGTCTTCTCGCAGTTCCAAAAGGCATTCAGCTAAAGCATTCTCGAATCAGATAGATCAGAATAGGAAAGATGACTCCTACCCAGTTCCAGCCAATACTTCAGCGTCTTTTCTTAACCAAAAACAAGAAGTGGAAAAACTACTGGAAAAGCAGGATAGGTTACCATATCAAAAGAAACAGGTAAAAGAGAAAGATAGATGCTCTCTGTCTTCATCTGCAGTTGAAATTCCGGATGATTTTGGAGGTAGGTCTGAAGAGCCAAGAGATTTTTATAATAACTATAAAACTCAGGCAGGTAGTAGCAAAACAGACAAGCCATATAAATCAGAAAGACATTTTTCTAGTAGAAGAGATTCCTCAGATTCCTGCTATAGGAATTCAGATGACAAGATAAAATTTCATGGTTACAAAAGATTTGAAAAAGATACAGAGGGAAGAAAAGAGCACTATAGGAGGTGGGATTCATCCTCCATGAGGTATTCTTCTTCTCCAGCAAGCTCAGACTACTCTTGGAAGTCAGTTGAAAAATATAAAAAATATCCTTATTCTGGATCACGTGATTTCAGTAGACATGAGCAAAGGTATCAATTAAATAAAAATCAAGGAGAATATGAAAGAGAGGATAATTATGGGGAAGATATTAAAACAGAGGTTCCAGAAAAAGATGAACTAAATAGCAAAGAACAATCAGAAAGTGGAATTAAAAAAAATTTACCTCAAAATTTACTAAATATATTTAATCAGATAGCTGCATTTGAGAAGGAAAAAGGAAATAAGCCAAAAAATTAGTATGCCAAGGAAAATTGTACCATTTTATTAAAAGCTGCTGATAAAAGTTTTGGGTTTTAGTCATAATAACTCAGTGCAGGAATCTGCTCTTAAAGTTACTTTATTTGAAGAGATTGCAAAAAAGCAAATAAATGCTTTTTAGCTTTTCTCAAATACATTTGTTTTAGTTGTACCTTCCCTTTCCACAGCTTGATTTTTAGGCTTTTTATGTGTATGTTTGTGTACAGTATTTCTTTTGATGATTTAAACTTCACTGATAGATAATTCTCAAAATACTGTTTTTTCATTGTACTATGGTGTATGAGAATTCCTGAGTCCACCCTCATCCTACTGTTGGAGAGAAAATTAAATTTGTGCATTGAAACACTTGGATCGTTTTCATCAAAAATTATTTCTTTTTCCTGTTAAAAGCCCTTGGCTTTTGTAAGAATATATATTTGAATAGTCCTTAAACACCATTTTAGATTCATCATTTATTTAAATATTAAGGGTTTTTTTGCATAACTTTTGTTTTAATGGTATGTCTAATATCATTGACTTCTACCCAGATTAAGAAATACCTTAGGAATAAAGCCATGAAAGTTAAATAGGGGCCCTTTTTGCATATTTGTCTTTTTTTAAAACTGACTGCTAGCAGTAGAGCTCTAAAAATTTTTTGACTTTTAAGTATTGGCAAGACCCTTAACAGACAATATTCTGGCCAAGAACAATCAGAATAGAAAGAATCCTTTTAGCTAAATGAGTGTCAAGAGAAACACACTTATATGTCTAATTTTTCCACTAAGGAAAAAAATTAAGTAACCGTCCAAGTATTGTAAGTTGGGAACGCACTGGGCATACTCTCAAAATAGCCAGTAGCTGGCCTGCATTCCTACTTTCTGGGAGGTGGGGGCGGGAGGAGTATGCATGTGTGCGTTTTAGAACATAATACTTTTTTTTTTTTTTTCAATTTTATTTATAGATTGACATACTGTACTATATAAGGTTAAGGTATAATTTAATATACAGAAATTGTGAAATGATCACTGCACTGTTCAGTTTATATTCATCTCTTATAGATTAAAAAAGAAAAAATGATTTATTCCTATGACACTCCTAGGATTTTCTCTGTTAACTTTCAAATATACCAGAGAGCACTGCTCACTGTACTTACCATGTTGTACATTACATTCCTACTACATATAATTAGTAGTTTTCACTTTTTGAATACCTTCTTCCAATTTCCCCTTCCTCTATCTTCTTTCTCTAAAACCACAATCTGTTCTTTTGCTCTAAATTAGTTATTGGCTTTTTTTTCTTTCTTTTTTGTTTTAAATTCCACAAATTCCACTGTAAGTGAGATCATGGTTTATTAGTCTTTCTAAAGTTATTTTGCTTAGTGTAATACTCTGAAAGTCATTTGTGTTGTTGGAATATTGGGATTTCCTTTTTTATGGCCGAATATTATATTATAGTTACGTAAACATACATAAGTATAAACACACATACATATATATCCCACAGCTTCTTTATATAGTCATTCATAAATGGACACTTACGTTTTCATATCTTGACTATTGTAAATAATGCTGCTCTGAACATGGGGGTGCAGATACCTTTTTGACAGTGTTTTTATTTCTTTCTCTGAAGTGGAAATGCTCGGTCATATGTTCTGTGTTTCACTTTTGAGGCTCCTCCATACTGTTTTCCATAGTGACTATTCTAATTTACAGTTCCATCAACCGTATACAAGGGTTCCCTTTCTCCTCATCCTCACTAGTATTTGTTATTGTTCTTCTTTTTGAAGGTAGCTATTTTTCTAAAAGCCATGAGATGATAATCTAATTGTGGAATTTTTTAGAGTGGAGACTATTGTGCGAAGAACTTTCTGGTCATGTCACCTCTTAGGCAGTGAACACCATTAACAGGCAGTGCCACTGAACAACGTTGTACAATTTGAATAAATATTTTGGATGTCCAAAAATTAATTCAAGATTCCAGAAGTAGCTCTAAATTAAGTTTTTTCTCACTTTGATGACTGAGTTAAAGGCATTCAGTGACCCATGATTAATTTTTTTGTTTTTTTATTGAGGCAACATTGCTTAATAACATGATTCAGGGGAATAAGTTAACATCTTCTCAAATGTACATCACTATATCATACCTACCACCAGATCACCCATATTCTTACCTTCCCCTTATAGTAGCCTCAATTCTGCAGTCAGATTTCTAGGTTCATTTGTTTGAAAAATAGCTTTGTAACAATCCTACTGCACACTATTGCAAGAGCTCCAAGTGTTGGGCACTTGTTACAAAGAACTAAAACTGGCAGTCTACCAATAAATTAGGGGACTCCTATTGAAAATCAGATCATACCAGTTTTCTTTAAATTGTTTATTAGGTCAAGAAAAATTTTTAATGCATTCTTTATGCTTGGTTGTCTTATTTTCAGAACAAAATCATTATGTGCTTAACTTTTTTTCAAGATTAAAGTAATTCGTAGAAATTTCAGCTGCAGTTCTGATACATAGTATTTCTTTGGTTGAAAATTTTTAAATTATACCAAAGAACTATACTACCAGGTTTTTTCCCCCAGAAGTCTGGGAAATTTGTTTCTTTCAATAAAGAAAACCTAATTTCAAGAACTTCACTGTTTCAAAATCTTGATAATGTAATGGGTCTTCAGAAATTTTTTTTCCAGAAAGACTCAATTACATTATAAGTGAGTACTTTCATAGCTAGCATAAAATAATGAGCAAACTATTTTCTAATACAACAAATACCAGTAGAGCAGTAAAAAGGTATTTTCCCTCTGCTTGTATAACATGCAGCCTTGTAAAAATCTACTTTTCTATGTGAAGAAAATAGGAAAAAAACTAAGAAAATTAAACATTTCTTTGGCTTTATTCAAATTGTTGAGTTGGGTTTTTTTAAACTCTCAATTTTCATATTTTCCACTAGATAAAACTTTTTATCTGGCCATTCCCTATTTTGAACACTATTTCAATAATCCTTTCTTATATATCATTGTAAACAGCACACTAAAGCACAGAGTGGGATTTGCTAATTTAACGTGAGATTTTGGCTTTGTTTTTGCAACTTGTTCAAAAGAAAGATTAAAATGTTTATTTGCTGCCCTTTTTGTTTTTACCATTACTGGGAATACTGCTAGAACTAGCTGGCCTAGAATGGCTGCCAACTTCTGAAAAGGAGTCTGGGAAATTCAGGTCTAATACTTTAATGGAAGTCTGAGAACCAGAAGTACTTGTGGAACTCCTAGATGACCTAGAAGAGAAACCAGAATTATTTGTAATTTTAATTCAAAACTTGTGTCTTAGTAGAGAAAACACCCCCATGACTGAATAAATCAAAAAATGCATATTAATAGTTGGTAATAAAACTTAAAGCTTATCAAGAAATTCCTATTTCAAAAGGGAAAGGTAATAGAGTTTCAAATCAGTAGCAAAATAGTTCAAGTAGTATATTCCTATATGAGAAAAATTGAGATGAAATTATTAAGTATTAAATACTTGTAAAAATCAGTAAGTATTCATAGTAACCCAAAAATGGGGCATGGAAGTAGGGGTCTTGGAAAAGTGATTGAAATAAACCTGGAGAGAAGTGGGCAGCCTCGTGACAATATAAAATGTTGAGGTCATTTAGCCATACAATTCTAAAATGATGTTTTAAAACATATCTTAGGAAAATGAGATTTCAAATAGCTGTTTGCCATATTCACAGATAAGCTTTTTTCTACTTAGACATTAAGTTTTTAGGATGTTACTCTGAGGGCTATCTCTACATGGACTACTTAATAAGTAAGAAAAAAAAGAAAAAGAAGTGGCTACTGAATGTAAGAGACTGGAATTTTAAGTCATCATTTTTGTCACTGAAGCACAGATTGCTGATTAAATATGCCAGATGATAAGAATTCTAGGTAACACTAAACTGTACAAGTAATGAATGAATAAAATTACCTTTTTAGCAAATTAAAGCAGCATAAAATTGAATGCTGGCTGTTTAAATTTTTACAGTGTTTTGACCATAACAATCATATTCCATATGCCTGTACATCTAATTTGTCCTTTGTTTTTAAAAAAAATTTTTCTCAGGATAGACCATGCTGATTACAGCCTCCAAAAATACCACCATGGTTTTATCCTGAAATAGCTATTAGTCACAAAGTACTCTGCTATAATGAAAATGGTGACACCAGACAGAAGTCAGAGGGAAGTCTTGCTCTGCTTTTCTCTGTGTCTGTCACACTGAAACAGGTAAGGTGTGGGTATATCAGCAAATCCAACAGCCATGGCAATGTGGAAGTAACGATTCACTTAGGGTCACAGCTGTGAGGGTTAATGAAATGGCTTTTTGACGTTCCACTTACCTTGCTGATATCAGTGAAGTCTGTGAAGGAGATCTAGAACTCTGAAGACTACGTTTAGTCCTAGGTACAGGTAGTTCCAAACCATTCTGGAAGAATATTCAGTAGCAATAATTAGTACCACTCCATTTTAGGAGGAGATATTTTTTAAATTTCACTTTATGACACATACCATCAACTTTTTTATTCTCATGAATTGTTTTAGAAATATATTTAGAAGATATGGTTAATACCTGCTGAAAGTGGGTTTGAAGGATAATACTGATTTCAGCATTTTCTTGTATGACATCAATTAGCATTTCATCAATGTTCTTGTGAAACTGTTTCACTTCACGAAGTTTGATGTCTTTTTCTTCTAGTGTTTCATCTTTTGTGTCTTTCAAAAGACGGATTTCACTGGTGAGTTTTGCACACTGTTGGTCAGTAATAGTCAATTATTAATTATCTAAACCTATTTTCCAGAATTTATTATTTTTAATAGATGGAGAAATTGAGTTTACTATTTAGAAGTCAAAAAAATACAAATATGACAGGTCAATTTTTAAGAGAGATCAGTACCTGTTTCGTTACTCTCTCTAATTTTGGTTTCTGCTCCTCAGTTTCTTTACTTAGTTGAAATGAATAAGCCTGCTTCTCTGATAACTTTGCCTTGACCTTATTTGTTAAATGTTCTATAACTTCTAAAGTATTTTCCATGCTCTGTAGAAAATAAAGTATTAACATACTTATGGTTAAAATAAAAAAGAATTTCTATAGCTTGCCATTTTTCAAATATTTAATTTTAACTTATTTTAGTATATACAGTTGACCCTTGAACAACATAGGGTTAGGAACACCAGCCTTGCTCAGTAAAAAAATCTGCATATAATTGATAGTCTGCCCTTTGTATCAGAAGGTTCCCCTGCATCTTTCAACCCACCAACAACAAAAGTTGGTTGAATTCCGTCAATGGGAAATCCATGGATTAAAAATCTGCAATCCATGAGTGAGTGGACCCTTCAGACCCACACTCAAGAGTCAATGTAGACATTCTATTAGTAGATAATAAGTGTAATGGTTTTATGGATTATGCTTCGTATATAATTTCACTGGAAGGTGTTTTTATGGCATCTCCTAAGTTTGAAAAATAATTCAAACAGTGACTGTTGAAAGCTTGCAATTTTGAAAGATTCACAATTCATATATTAGTAAAAAATAAATTCTTACAGTCCTCCTTACCAAGCACATTTTTTTTTCCATGATGTGCTCTGTAACTACTTTCTAAATTATTTTTCTCTTTCAAATTTGTCTTGTTTCAAGGAGCAATACTTAAGCAATCTTCAAGGAATTAAATGAAATAAAAGTTCATTAAATAAAAGTTAGCATAATTAGCTATGCTTCATCAACTAATTAATAAGTAGTTGTCAGGTGTCCATCCTGTGCCTATTAATACTGGACTTTAACTAAATACTTTATTTTCTTCTCATTTAAATGAGATTGCTTCTCTAAAGAAGTACAAGATAACAAGATAGAAATAATGATGATTAACTTTTTACCAAAGGCTTGTTACTACTTACCTGGGTATCTTCCTGTAGTTCTCTGATTTGTCTTTGTTTGTATCTGTATTTTTCATCAGCGACTCTTTTTTGTTCTTCCAGTTGGATTTTTAGCTCATACTCATCACCTGGAATTTAGAGAACTTTTGGTTTAAATTTTTAACATACTGTGTAGAAAGCAGTCTTAAAAACTTAACCTGTATTAAATTTCTTATCACTTACATCTACCTATTGAAAAATAGTGTGAGCATGTAATGGCCATTCTTGTTTTATCAACACAGAGTAGCCAATGTGCTTCTGCTGTTGCTTCCAGACTTGGAATTAATTCCCTAGAGAAATTAATTCTCTATGTTATAATACTAGAATTAATAATATAAATAGCACCTTAGAATTTATTTTAAAAGCGGTTGGGGTAATTAATTTTTCTGATGCAATCAAACATGGCACATTGTTGTTTTCAGTGTCTCACAATGTTAAACTGTATGGTTTTCATTGTATAACTTCATAAAAATTACATTTATAACTCATACATACTAGATGGGGTCACTTTTTTTAAAGATTGTTTGTAATTTTTGTTGCAGCTATTCAGCACTTGCAAGGTGTTTTCCAGCGCATGAATTTCTTTTTCAGCTTTATTGATTTTAGCATCCAAACTGTCACCTTCCCTTTGAAGCGCTTCTTTTTCTTGAGCAGCCTATGAAATGGAGAATAGAATGAACTGAATAAAAGTGTAAAGCAGATAGAATGTCTGTTTTTAGGGCAGGAAATAGTTAACTCACAACAATACCAATTTGTCATGAGACCTACAAGCAACACCAAGCATTTATTTCTCACTCTTGACTACAAATATAAGACCAATCCTCATGGCCTCCAAATACACGTAGGATACAAAACCATAATGGAAGTAGTAACTATACAAAATTTATGTTAAATTCTCTGACAAAAATTACCAAAAAGTTAAAAAGGTATAAACTTTGCTGAGAAGAGAAATAAGGTTCATCAGAAGGAGGTTTCAAACTAGATAATAAAAACCAAGTATGTTTCTGGTCTGAGAGAGACTGAGGGACACTTTCTCATTTTAAACCTTGTGAGTAAGAAAAGTGAACAAGAATACCAGGGAAATTTATATGTGGTGTTTGTTGGAATTTCAACAACTTTGGAGAGTACTTCAATAGCACATACTAAAACTGGAGCAATAGAAGATAAACATGGTAACAGTGTGGGAATGACATGTAAATTTGAAGCATTCCATGTTTTAAAAGGAAAAATACTGTATGGTTCTACTATAGGAGGTACTTATAGTCAGAATTCACAGTCACAAGAAATGGGATGATGGGGGCCTCCCCGGTGGTGCAGCGGTTGAGCGCTGGGTTGCGAAGCTGCCCGCAGCCTCTGCAGCGCCAGTTCGATCCCCGGCTGCTCCCTGGCCACCGGAGGAGGGTCCCACATGGCGCGCAGACCTCTCCTGCGGCCCACTGCTCCCCTCAGCAGTGTACTTTTGTCCTTCTGCCTGCTCTGCTCCCCGCTCTGGCTCTGGTGAATTCTCTCACCCTCCCGCCCTTCTGACTGTACCCAGTGCTTGTATAAATAAATAAATAAATCTTTAAGGAGAAAAAAAAAAGGAAAGAAATGGGATGATGGTTCCCAGGGATTGAGTGAGGGGTAGATGGGGAGTTATTTAATGGGTACAGTTGCAGTTTTGAAAATGTAAAAAGTTCTGAAGAGGGAAATTAGTGCTGGTTGTGAATGTGCTTAATGCCACTTAACTATACAGTTAAAAATTGTTAAAATGAGAATTTTTGTATTTTAGCACATTTTAAAATATAAAACTAGAGAAAGATTAACAATTTTCACTAGAAAAAAAAATACATTGTGTAAATTGCTGAAAACCAAAAATTGCTCAGTGAGCAGACATGCTTACTTTTTCTAGCTTAACTCTCATTAGGCAAGACTAGAGTTGTTCCCAAAGAATTTCAATTAAGGATTGCCAGGGATAGCATGCATCTATATTAAAAAGTGCCAAAAATCCAGTTTTAGTCAAAATCAACTGATTTCATTTGTTAATTTACTCACCCCTAGTTATGTGTATTTAACCAGTATGTGGTCACTGGTAATGTTTTGTTACTAATGTTGAGTTCATTACATTTCTTACTGGTATTTGAAGTATTATGTGTCAAGACATGTTACACTTTTATAGCATATACTACATAATAAAGCTTAGCAAAAAAAAAAAAGTTATTGAGTAAATTATACCTAATTAGTTTGAGTCTAGAATTAGTATCCATTTGATTTGAAATATAGTAAGATCTGGAGTGAATCAAAAACAGATTTTAGTTGTGGATTTCCTGTTTGTGAATTGAGTAACCTTACATTCACTTATCTGAGTTCAGTTTGTCAAATGAAGAGATTGAATATGTTTGTCAATACAAATTCCTGATCTAATTCCACATATACCTTAAAATTTTAAAACTATGATCCCATTTGCCTCTAATCGGAACTTATATAATGTCTACCTTCTATTCTGGATTAGAAAAGGTACTATTTGGAAGAAATCTTTTTACTTTTTATTTAGACTTTTCTGTCCAACATTTTATAACATTTCCTAATGATTTCATGATATAGTTTAAATTTTGATCGGGATTGGATTGTTTCCTTATAAAGAATAAGAGAAACTTAGAAATAAGACATAAAAATGTCAGTTCTGCATTGGTAACTGATGTGTTTTAGTCTAGCCATTAAGAATCAGATATTAGAAGATAGTAGGGTGAATTAAGGGAAAAACAAGGCTACGTATGTCCCATACCCATGTATGCCCATATTACATGGGCAAAATGAGGAATATGGATTAAATTGTTTCTTAAAAATTTGTTGAAGTCCTAAACCCCACTACTTCATAATGTGATCTTGTTTGGAAATAGGGTCTTTGCAGATGTAGTCAAGTTACAACGAGGTGGTTAAGAAAAGCCCTAATCCAGCATAACTGGGGCTTTATAAAAATGGGAAATTTGAAGATATTCACAGAGGGATGACTAAAGAGAGACAGGGAGAATGTCATGTGAAGATGGAGGCAAATACCAATGGCAATGCTTCCCTAAGCCATGGGACTCCAAAAATTGCCAGTAATACACCAGAAAATAGGAGAGAGGGATAAAACAGATTCATCCTCACAGGCCCCAGAAGTAATTAGCCCTGCCAGTATCTTTATCTCCATCCTCCAGAACTGTGGGAACCCTTCACTCGGGATACTTCAAAAACCTAAGAGGAGGAAAGTCCCGTTAATATTGGTTAGCAGGGGCCTCCCCAGTGGCGCAGTGGTTGAGCACTGGGCTGCGAAGCTGCCCACAGCCTCCGCAGCACCGGTTGGATCCCTGGCAGCCAGCAAGGGTCCCTCATGGCACGCAGACCTCTCCAGCCGCCCACTGCTCCCCTCAGCAGCGTATTTCGTCTGTCTGTTTTGTTCCCCGCTCTGGCTCTGGTGAATTCTCTCACCCTCCCGTGCTTCTGACTGTACCCAGTGCTTGTATAAATAAAAAATAAATTACTTTTTGAAAGAAAATAAATAATCCCTTTTAAAAAAACATTGTTCAGCAGCCTGAGCTACAGTAGGCTGATGGGTTATAAGAAGGATTTGAGAGCTGTTATTTCTTACATAGGTGGAATTTCCTGAGATAAAGTGGCAGGCATATTAAACCATGTATATGTTAAAGGCTGACTTGAAGAGTAGCTACAGAAGAAAACTTGGAAGATTAAATAGAAGAGAAAGGGACCATCTACTATCCTCTAAAGATGTGCATTTAGAGGGTTCAGTCCTATTCATGCAGGATGCTGGAAAAGTAATAACTTCCATTCCTTCATCGTTACAGGGTTTAAATTTCTTAGGCCTGTCTATACAGGAGATCCCATCTGTTCAGAGTGTTACCTATAAGAAAGATGCATATAGGGCCTCCCCTGGTGGCACAGGCGATTGAGCACAGCACTGTGACGCTGTCAGCAGCCTCCGCCGGTTCAAGTCTGGCTGGCCAGTGAGGGTCCCACATGGCGCAGCAGACCACTCCTGTCTCGCCTGCTGCTCCCCTCAACAGTGTATTTCATCAGTCTGCCTGTTCTGTTCCCTGCTCTGTCTCTGATGAATCCTCTCACCCTACTGCGCATCTGGCCTGTACCCCAGTTCTTGTGTCAATAAATAAATAAATCTTGAAAAAAAAGGAAAGATGAATATAGCAGTACTTAGAAAGAGAATTGCATCTATTCCTGATCACTTCTGCATTTCTCTTTATGGATTACTAGGTAAAGAGCCATGAGATGGCAGGCAGCTCTCACACATCAGAAACAACAGCTGATTTGCTTTTATCTGTCTCCCACCTAATATGAAAACAAAGAAACAGTCTTTTCTCCACATCTGTCACACCAGGACTGCAACTGGAACAGCTTTCAGGTGTAGCTCAAGGTGATAAATTGTCTTAAGGTGTGGCCATACGAGTAGGTGATTATAATGAAGTAAAGCTTTGTGTCTGAGGGGAACAGGACACCCACAGTGATAGTAGGTCTCAGGGTAAAAGGTTGTGAGCCACAAATAAATGAGGGAAAACAAAATGTGCAAATGATAGTGAAGGGAAAAAACATCACTGGTCCAGCAGAATGACATGAACCTTAAAAGGAAGGGGTTTGGAGCAAAGTAACTGGATTTTGGGAACCTCGTGGACTAGAGGTATATAAAACTTAACAGTGCTTCAGTAACTCCATCTAGCAAAAAAAAGTTTTGTGGCCCTGATTAAGTGTAGTGCTATGAAACTTGAAATTTTACTACTTTCTATTAGAATCATAACTTAATTGTGATTACCTTGATTACATAATAGGCCTGTGTTTTCTCCTCTTCTCCTTCAGGAGGCAGCATAACAACAGTAAGAATTTCATATCGATTCTTCAGCTTATCAATTTTACTTAGTCGCTCATGAAACTCAGCACTAATACAAAAAGAAAAAGAAACATTGAAACAAACTTATAGAACCATAAAAAGTGTTCTTATAATCCAAATATCTTTCAAAACATAATTAAATGTAAATAATAGTGAGATGACCCCGCATACTCACTGGAATGGCAGCTATCAAAACAAAAACAAAAACAAAACACCAAAGTTTGGTAAGAATGGAGAAACTGGAACCCTTCTGAGTGTTTTTGGAATGTAAAGTAACCGTTATGGAAAACAGTATGGCAGTTTCTTAAAAATCTAACAATAGAACTATCATATGCTCTAGCAGTACCACCTCTGGGTATATAGCCAAGACATAGAAGCATTGACAGATGAATGGATAAACAAATGTATATAATTCAGTGGATTATTGTTTAGTCTTAAAAATAAGGAAATTCTTTCACAACATGGAGAAACCTTGACATTATGCTAAGTGAGGTAAGTCAGTCACAAAAAGACCATATGATTGCACATATAAAGTATCTAAAGTAGTCAAATTAATAGAAACAAGGTCAAATGGTGAGGGGTATGGCAAGTTTCAGTTTTAAGAGTTTTAGTTTTATAAAATGAAAAAGTTCTGAAGATATGTAGCACAATGTGAATATACTTAACACTAATAAACACTATACATAAACATGGTTAAGATGAAAATTTTTATTGTTACATGTTCTTTATCAAAAAAAGAAAAACATTTTTTAGAGTGCAGAAAAGAACAGTGTCTCCCCTTTGTAAAGCATCATAAATACAATTGCTTCCCAAGGTTTAGGTTTTTAAATCTGCTGGTTACTTTTTTTCTTTTATTTCATCCAGTAAATTTGTATTTTAGAAGCTATTTTGAACTTTTAATCATGCTAATAAAATAATTTTAATAATAATGGCAAGTAGGAAGGAAGCTCAATTGTTAGCTACAATCTCATGAAAATAACCATCCAACCATGTGAAAAAAATCTTCAGCCTGCCAGTTTTTCTTCTACTCTTGAAAGTTGGTAAAATATATTAAGTATTAGAAGTTACAGCTTTGTTTATTTCTAAATATTATTGTACATTTTTCAGAAAATAATTACTCATTCTTTATGTGAAGTCCTGGTAGGATTTTTAGTTTAAGATGGACTGAACACAAGTGGGTACCTCTACTTCCTAAAATGGAAAATATTAAAAGGAAAAAAAAAGCTCTGGGAATAAGACTTTTCAGGAATACATGGAAAACAAAGGATAAAATTGATGTGGGGTAGGGTGATGGAAATACAGACTGCTGTAGAAATAAGAGCCATTATCACCAAAGAAATAGCAAGAAAACCCAAACTCAGGAAAAAGAAAAAGAACAAGAGCAGTCTCTAAGGTTATTATCGCGGTATTTAATAAAACAATTGCCTATAAAATATCTAGGCCTCATTCGTCAACCCCTCGCAGTATACAGAGATGTTGGCAGGATTTATGTGTGTATAAACTTGGGGAACTACAAATAGCTGCCCAAATCACCAGCGTTCCTAGCATTGTATGTTGGAACTGCAGAAAAATAGAAACAATGAGCCACAATAGCGGAGCCCAATGGAAAAGAAAGGCAGTTCCACCTAGGAAGAAAGTCTTCAATGCCTAAAATAAACTCCTAAAGGACAAACACCTTATGTTCCTTAAGGGACATGACCCAGAGTCTACAATCAGCCTTCCGCTGTTGAGAAAGAGAAAGAACTAATTGCAGATAGTTCTACTAATTTCATTCTATCTCTAGTATTTGTTAGTAAATAGCATGAATGAACGAAAACAGTAGCAAAGAAAAAGATTGAATCAGTAGGGCAGGGATGAGGAAAGAGGCAGAGAACAAAGAAGATGCATAAGGAAGGGGGATGAGGAAATAAAGACTATGAGACTATCCGGAATAAAAAGAATAGAAAATTTAAAGTGAGAGAAAAGTTAAGAAACCTGGAAGACATATCTAAGAGGGTCAACTTCCACCAAAAATTAGCAACAAATGAGAAGAATGGAAAGAATGGTGTGAGAAAAAAGGAGTAATAGAAAAATATTTCCCTGGACAACAGTGAAATCATTGAAAAAAGCACACCATGAGTCAAATATGAAAAATGAAAACAGACAAACTATCTAGACACATGTAAATTCTAAACACCAAGGATAAAGAAACTGTCCCAAGGTTCCAGAAAGGAACAAAACCAAATACCCTTCAAAATAAAATGAATTAGCCTTGAATCAGACATGTTATGAACAAAGCTATAATTTAGAAAGATATAAAACTGCTTTCAAACTTAAAAGTATAATTTAAATACGGGGTAGAACATACAAGGAGTCCTTTCAGAAAACATGAGTTCCTGAACAACATATTCAAGTGTGTGTTCCCAGAGTGTAATGGGAATCCAAAAAATTAGGGTTCAAAATAATATTAAAGCAAGAAAATAAAATGAGAAATGGATATTCTCCAAAAGGAAAGAAAGTAAAAACAAAATTATTGAAACCAATGAAAGAGAAAATGAATAGCTACTGGGCCTCCCCTGGTGGCGAAGCAGTTGAGCGCTGGGCTGCAAAGCTACCCACAGCCTCTGCAGTGCTGGTTCGATCCCCGGCTGCTGGCGAGGGTCCCACATGGCATGACAGACCTCTCCTGCTGCTCCCGCTGCTCCCCTCAGCAGTGTATTTCATTGGTCTGCCTGTTCTGTTCCCCGCTCTGTCTCTGGTGAATTCTCTCACCCTCCCGCGCTTCTGACTATACCCAGTGCTTGTATAAATAAATAAATAAATAAATCTTTTAAAAAAAAAAATTCTAAAAAAAAAAAAAAAGAATAGCTACTGTATGATCCAGCTATTCTATTTCTAGGTATTGATCCAAGAGAAAAGAAAACATATCCTTACCACAAACACATGTTCATAGCAGCTTTATCTGTAACAACCAAAAACTGGAAACAATTCAAATGTTCATCAATAGGTAAATATAAACTAATCGGGATAAATGTATACCTTGAAACACACTACTCAGCAATTAAAAAGTCAAGGTCACCAGCCATTCTGCCTGAGGCTTATCTTTGGACAGCCCATGAGGAAAAATGTAGCTTATACATGTTTCAATGTAAAATGGTTGGAAAAGATTGAAACAAGAATTATATTTCATGAAAATGAAAATGTCTATGAAATTCAAATATCAGGGTCCATAAAGTTTTATTGGAACACAGCCACAGTCATTTATTTGCATAGTATTTGCACTGCTATTCACTCTACAATTGCAGAGTTTGAGTTGTTGCAACAGAGACCATATGGCCTGCAAATCCTGTAATATTTACTATCTGGTCCTTATAGAAAATTCTGTGTGTGATGCAGCTACAGTAATATTTAGAATTGTTTATCCTGCAAAAATGAATGTTAATTAGCTAAGCACTGCTGTCAAGTTAGAAAAACAGCACCAAAATATTGTCACAAAAATGAAGAATAAAATAGTAAAATGACAGCAGCAATAATAAAATAGGAAATAAATTCATACAGGAAAAAATCAGAAATCATTTATTATTTTGAAAAACAATAAAATTGATTAAATACTGGTAAGTCTTATCCCACCCAAAAAAGAGAAGTCACAAATAATGAGCATCAGGAAATGAAAAACTACAATGAAATTATTAAGTAAATAATAAAATGATGTTGTGAACAATTTTATGGCAATAACTTTGTAGATGAAATGGAAAATCTTTGCTAGAGAAACATCTCAAAAAGACATACAAAATTTGCATTTTTTTACAACCTATAAATAAGCTGAACCAACCCATGAAAACTCTTTCTGAATACCAGATCTCCAATGGTTTTACCAGGGAGGTCTTTGAACATTCAAAAAAGATATAATTCTATTTATTTACAAACTTTCCAGATTATAGAAAAAAAAAGAAACATACTTCTGAGGAGATCTGAACCTACTCCTCTAAATCATGTACAGTGTTATAAACCAATGTTACCTTAATAAAGAGAAATAAAAAACAAAAAGATAAAATACAAAAATTATTTTAGGAAAAGAGGCACAACCGTAATATGATAAATTGGTAAGGGCAACAGAAAAATGAGAATTATAAGCATAGATTAAAAAAAATTGTATAAAAATACTGCTAAAATCTAGATATATGCAAAACATAATGTGATAAACAAGTTGTATTCTAGGGAAATAAGGTTGTTTTAACTTTGAAACAGCAATGTATTTTTTTTATATTAATAGGTTGAAAGAGCTGTAACATATCAATGAATGCAGAAAGAGCAATATAATTAAATTCCTGATTAAACAAACTAAAAAATCTCTTACCAAAGACAAAGGGATGAGAACTCCCTTAAATATCAAGAATATCACAAAAAAAAAAAAGCCAAGTAAACCTCATACTTGATGATAAAACAATGAAAACCTTCCCTCTGATGTCAGACATAAATGCAGGCACCTGCAATCACTATTGCTAGTCAACATTGAACTAGTGACTAAATAACACCAGCAACAAAGCAAGACAAAAGACTGTGTGTGTGTGAACAATATATGTAATATCATATATATATTCATTGCAGCACTATTTACTATAGCCACATTATGGAAACAACCTAAGTATTCTAAAAGATTAAGGATTATGATGAGTGGTATGGACCAGATCAAAATGGCATCAAAGGACATTACCTAATTTGCTCCTGAGAGGATAATCTAAAAGTTATCGAGAAGGGCACTAAACCCAGAGGGCCCCATGACTTGGGGTGAACCTGGAACATCTCTTGGACATTGGAGACCAGCACTTCTTCTTAAGATCCAATATAAGACAAGGATGTCCATTTTAATTGCCATTACTGAATATAGTAGTCAGGAATAAATATTACACAAGCTATTCAAAACCTCTAAGAAAACTTGTTTCCATATATGCAGTTATTGGGTATCCTTTCCCTAATGGACCTTTACCACAATTATACCCAAAAATCAACTCTAAGGAGACTGATGATTTTAATGTTAATGTGAGAATACAGAGTTGAGGAGTTAGCCAAAAAGAGAAAGGAAAAAGCATATACTTATGGGGCCTCCACAGTGGCGCAGCGGGTTGAGCACAGCACTGTGAAGCTGTCCTGCAGCCTTTGCAGTGCGGGTTCGATTCCCAGCTGGCCAGGGAGATTGCCAAATGGTGCGGCAGACCTCTCCTGTCTCACCTGCTGCTCCCCTCAGCAGTGTATTTCAGTAGATCTGCCTGTTCTCCTCCCCGCTCTGTCTCTGGTGAATCCTCTCCCTATCCTGTGCCTCTGGCCTGTACCCCAGCTCTTGTGTAAAAATAAATAAATCTTTAAAAAAAAAAAAAAAAGCATAGACATGGCCAAAATATGTCCTACACATTATATTAAATGCTTTTTCAGACAAATTAAAAGATGGACATTCAAGATGGTGGCGGGAACGGTCAGTTCTGACACCAAACTAATGTTTTCAAAATTCTTTAGCAGTATTTTAAAATTCTAATTATTACCTTATGTTTTGCCGTTCTTGATCAACGTATCTTATTTGTGATGTAAGCATTGCTTTGTGAACCTTAATTTCTTCAGTTCGTTCTTCCATAGCTGTTTGTAATTGCTGCTTTCTTTTTTCCAGAGAAAGAACTTCTTCTGCCTTACTGTGAAGCATTTCTCGAGTACGTTTAACTTCAAGTTTCAAAAGATTGTCTTCTATCATCAAATCCTATCAACATACAAAATTGTCAAATATTGAAATACTTATTTTTATACCCAAACTATTGTTACAGAAAAAAAATCAGGGCCTCCCTGGTGGAGCAAAGAGTTAAGCACAGCACTATGAAGCTATCTACAGCCACCGCAGCTCAAGTTTTATGCCCTGCAGCCAGGGAGATACCCATATGGCGCAGTAGACCTCTCCTGTCTCATCTGCTGCTCCCCTCAGCAGTGTATTTCAGTATATCTGCCTGTTCTGCTCCCCACTCTCTCTGGTGAAGCCTCTTACCCCACACACCCCAGTTCTTGTATACATATATAAATCTTTTTTAAAAAATCAAACTTGAGGGCCTCCCCGGTGGCGCAGCGGTTGAGCGCTGGGTTTCGAAGCTGCCCGCGGCCTCTATGGCCGCAGGTTCGATCCTCGGCTGCTCCCCGGCCACCGGAGGAGGGTCCCACATGGCGCGCAGACCTCTCCTGCCGCCCGCTGCTCCCCTCAGCAGTGTACTTTGGTCCTTCTGCCTGCTCTGCTCCCCGCTCTGGCTCTGGAGAATTCTCTCACCCTCCCGCACTTCTGACTATACCCAGTGCATGTATAAACAACAACAAAAAAAACCAAATAAAAATAAATAAATAAAGTGTGCCTCTATAAAAAAAAAAAAAATCAAACTTGAAAATAAATTATTTTCTTACTTGACCACTCGCCAAATAACATCACATAGTAGAAAAAACTTTAAAACATTTTTATTTAAAATAAATATTAAAAATTTGCTGCTTAAAAATAAGATGTTTTAAAATGTCAACATTTTAAATGCAGACTAAAACAATGAGATACTATATTTGCTTATCAAATTCACAGCAATTTTATAAATAATATCCACCATTAATGGTGGTAAAATATGTTTACAAACTACTGGTGGACATATTAACTGAACCCTCTAGAGGACATTTAAGCTTAAAAATAGTTTCAAGACAACAAAAATATTCATTTTGTTGAACCAATGACATGTAAATTCAATTTTCTTTGAAAGACTGGAAGGAAATAATATACATTATTAACACATCTTGTAAAGTATTATATATATAATAAATATTTATTTTCTTTAAAATTTAAATTTCCCTACAATTAGCATGAAAACATGTAATTTTTGATATTATACACATATATGATTTCATTGCACCTGTTTAACAGCTTTGGCTTTCTTAAGTTCCTTCTCTGATCTGTCATTGAAAAGGTTTAGTTCATTTATTTTGCTCAAGAGGGACTGTGTTTCATCACAATTTTTGCCATTTGACTTCTTGATGAAGTAAAGATCATTCTGTAAAGAGAAAAAAGATACATAAATACATATTTTAAAAAACATTATTGCAAATGACATACACTATTAAACATTTTACACTGTAGTCCATTAGCTATTTGTAATAGACTTTTAATATCACTTTCATATTATAATATCTCCATATATATGGCTATTCACATAAAAACATTTTCATTGTTATCATCTATTGATATTTTGAGTTCAATCATTGTAGAAAATATGTATGGTTACAGTTCAACCTGAATCATTTAGGTGACTACCACCTGTGGGGAGAAACAGGAGGAGGGAACCCAAGCTTCTATTCAATACTTAGTTCACCTTCTGCAGTTCATTGGTTCAACTCAAGTCCCAGAAAGGTAAAAACATTAACAGTCTGAGAAAGTATAGGGCCTTGATTAACAGTACAAACTCTGAAATCAGATGTCATTAATTATTGCCATCTGACCCTACTCAGCAAACTATTCTTCCTCAGTTTCCTCATTTCTAAAATAACAATTCCTACTTCCCTCGGTTGTTGGGAGGATTAGGGAAGCAACCATCAAAGATTATGTACAACAGTGTTTGACATATAGACGTTTCATGTATAATAATTATTATTAATATATTAATTCTATATTGATATTAGTAATCAATAATATATTGATTGTATATTAATATTAATATATTAAGACTATTACTATATAATCACATATGAGAAAAATGTTAGATAATTCTAATTCCAGTGGATGCATCAATGGGTCTTACATACCAGACACCAGGTTTCTATTTTATACTAGTCTATAGCCCTCTTCCCACTCAGAAATCAGAAAAAAATTATGCTTTGTCCCCTTAGCAAAAACCTAATTCTAATTCGAAGATCTCTTTGTTATTCTTTTTCTCATTCTCTCTCTCACTCCTTCCTCTCTGCTTTTTTCATTCCCTGTATTTCTCTGAAGTATCAGGACTAAGAATTGCAGCTGGATGGTAAGAAGAATGATGTGATTTCTTAAAATTAATTTTGGGAAGAAAAAATTTAAATGTAAGATGATTTTTCAACCAGAAGAAACTATTTTATGTTGCGCAGAATAAGAGATGGAGTGGCATAAAGAAGGAATGTATAATCACTTTATACTCTGATGCTACTGTTGAGAAGATTCATTATAAGGGTAACTAGCTTTAATATCTTTAAATATTCACTTGCATTTCTATTATCTATTTCTTTGTTAAAACCAGATTTAGGACACACATAAGTAGCAGCCAGTGGCATAATGGACAGAGCCCCAGGATAATAACTCAAAGAGGGACACCATCACCGCACAGCAAAAGAGACACAATTCATGTGGCTGGTTCAAGAAACATATTCAGATATAAAAGTCACTCTTCTATTTTTCTACAGCATTAATATTCTCATATTGTATATAATCAAAGCAAACCATTTAATCAGTAAAAACTAAGAGCAATGTGCTAAGCTATACATTGCTTCTAATTCCCTCAGGGCCTCCCTGGTGGTGCAAGGGTTAAGACGCAGCCTATGAAGCGATCCACAGCTACTGAAGCATGGGAGTTCGAAAGCTGGCCAGGCAGCAGATCCAAGTCGCACAGCAGACCTCTCCTGACTTGCCCACGGCATCCCTCAGCAGTCTGTTCGCACAGCAGACCTCTCCTGACTGGCCCACGGCATCCCTCTGCCTGTTCTGTTCCCCACTCTGTCTCTGGTGAATCCTCTCACCCCTCCACACCTCTGGCCTGTACCCCAGCTCTTGTATGCATAAATAAATAAATCTTAAAAAAATAATAATTCCCTCAAATGCTTTAAGATAATATTAAATATCTTTTCCATTTAACTGAAAAGTAAACCAGGGTTTAAGAAAATTAAAATGTTAGTGGCGGTATAACCCTGACATTCAAAAGCCAGTTCGTTCTGATTCTAAAACATGTTTTTTTTTTTCACTAAATCAAGGAAGTAGTTTAAAATATTTAATCAGGTTGAAATCCACTCCAAGCCAAAATTACGTCATCTTAAATTTTTTAAATACTTAAATTTTTAAAACAGCTCCCTAAAGCAATTCAGGGCAATTCTTCTTATAACCACTAGAGGACACTCATCATTAGACTTTCTAGCTCTTTAAACTACATTCAACCCTTTGGAGTTAACATTCAAATCTCTGAGTTCCCATTCTTTCTGAATTTTTATTCAGGTCCCTGCTCTACCTCTTTCACTCTTACTCTCCACTTAAACTTTCACATGGGCTTTATATTACATAGGTTCCTCTGACATAGGTTTTATATTACCATAAACATCATAATATGCCCAAGTATGAAGAACATTTCACCTTAACAAAATTGAGTGATTTGAACTCTTGAAACTAAGTAAATATTTTAATAACAATAGATAAACTATAAAAGAACAGCTTCCTTTAAATGTCATTTCAGAGATAAAGACAATCGTATTATTCTAGATACATAACAGAAACGTGGAATTTATTGATTTTTAAAACCATGTACTACTTAAAAGTATTTGGAAGTCAGATGGAACAGGGGTTAAATCCTAGCTATCTATATGCTAACTATGTAATCGTGGCCAACTTACTTAATCAGCAAAGGAAGTAATAATATCTTCTCACAAGAGATTTATAAGGATTTATTGAAATAAAATACTAACAGCAATGTAATATATTTAGCTTATAGTAAGCACAAAATCAATGGTAAAGCTATATTCTTGCAGTTAGTACAGAAATATGTACATCTGTTCATACAATTGTTTTGTATGTGAGTAGGTTGGCAATCATCCTACCCAATGTAAAGTCTTAGGAACACGTTAATTTGAAGCAGAACAACTAATGATTAGGGTATTTGAAACATAAATTATTTTGGCAAGTTACCTGAAGTTTTTTGATCTGTACTTCCAAAAGTTCAAATGTGGATTTTTTCTGCTCCATTGTCTTCTTAAGTTCAACAATTTTTGCTTCAAGAGCTTGTTTTTCTTCTGAATTAATATCTCCCTTTAACCGTGACATTCGACGTTCCACTTGTTGAATATAAAAATCCTGTTACAGTTTTTCAAAAATAAATTAGCAAGGAGAAATGAACAAAATCATTTCTGTAAGTTACATATAAAAATTCAGTAATAATGGCCTGGGTGCCATCATTTATGAAGGTCATTTTAATCCTTCAGTAATTTAGAGGATAAAATCTTTTCTATTTGGGCCTCCCCGGTGGCGCAGCGGTTGAGCGCTGGGTTTCGAAGCTGCCCGCGGCCTCTGAAGCGCCGGTTCGATCCCCAGCTGCTCCCCGGCCACTGGAGGAGGGTCCCACATGGCGCGCAGACCTCTCCTGCCGCCCGCTGCTCCCCTCAGCAGTGTATTTCGTCAGTCTGCCTGCTCTGCTTCCCGCTCTGGCTCTGGTGAATTCTCTCACCCTCCCGCGCTTCTGACTGTACCCAGTGCTTGTAAAAATAAATAAATAAATAAATAAATCTTTAAAAAAAAAATCCTTCCTATTTTAAGGAGAGAAACAGAAAACTATTCAACAATGAGAATACATGATAGTCACATAGAAGTCAGCCCCTGAAAATATAACAAAGTCAGCTAAGGAGAGATTTATCATACTACAATGATGGAACTTCAGTAAATCCACTGGATTTATTAGGACATGAATCTTTAAGGATCTATTTTCTGAGGGATGCAAAAAAAGAGCTATGAGACTCAATTATGATTTAATTCCACTGAATTATTTTAAAAATTATATTTTAGCACCTGTAATTTTGAGAAACTAAGAATATATATTAATAGGAAAATTAAGATGGCTAGGGAAGACATTAAAATAGTAACATAAGCCCAACAACAGGTGACTAGATAAAGAAGAGGAGGCAGTATTTAAGCTACTACTCAGCTTTTAAAATAAAATGAAATCTTGCATTTTTGACAACATGGCTGGAACTGGAGTAGATTATGGGGATGGGGAAGACTGCACAGCTAACAATCAACATACAGGTTTCCTAGGTTTTAGATATATCACTCCTTTTATTTGTTTTGTTCCATGTCCAACTGCCACTGTTTCCTTAAAAGCAGGGTTCCCCTTCACTAGAGTGGTTTATCCTCTTATATGCTTATTTTAGATCAAGAACAAAAATAGTTTTTAAGTCTCCTTTTCCCTACTACTGATTCAACAAGGTATTTATTCTTCAGCATCTGTCCATCCCGCTAGAAATCTTTGTTTTCTTAGAATGCTAAGAACACAAAACACAGCATCTTGATCATCCCAACTATAATGACTCAATATGGAAGAAATTCATAAAAGAAACTTCTACCTGATTGTACATAATTTCTTGCTGCTTCAAGGTTTCAAAATCCAGTTTATGTAACTGATTGTTGAGGTGCTTTAGAGAGGAACGGGTTCCTTCAATTTCAGATACAACAGCTTTTTCTTTCATTGTCTCAGTCTGTAATTCCTGAACTTTCTTAAACAGCACACCTTTCAATATGTTCAATTGAACTTCCACTTCCTGATGATTAGAATAATAATGATTAATAAAGTTACAATACCTTGAAATATTTTATTACTTAAACATAATTTAGGAGGTTGTTAATTAACACCTAACATTTTAGCCCTTGAGAATATGAAGAATTTTCCACAATTTCAACAAATCCCCAACATTTAATATAGTCTATCCTAGTAGATGACAATAGTAGTTATCTATTCCTGTAGATTTGATTTGTCATCTTAATCCTATCCCTTGTTACCATAGCCTCCAACATGACCACTCCATGAGTTCTCTTGGAAAATAAAATAAATCAGAGTCACATAACTCATGAAGTTCACAAAGTTTATTTAAGTCTTCAGGGTGTTATAGGAAAGAAATCACAACATCCAATCTCCTCCCTTTTTCTGGGGACTAATCAGTGGTGAACAGGTCAATGTCCAGTGAGCAGGTCAATGCCCAGCATTCCAGTAGATGGGAGGTTAGGGGGAAGAGTCTGAATTCCATGGTGTGAATACTTTCTCTATGGTCAATTTTAAGCTACTAATATGATTCCACTAAATGCGTAATTAAAAGGGGCTATGTAGTAGCAGATCATTATGAGTATCTTCACTATACATGTAACTATCTCTTAAGAGCATATAATAATAAAGTGTAATAAAATATTTTGGAAATGATGAGGGCTGTGTACTTACTGTTTTTGTTTTTGATGTTATTTATTCTTAATTATAATGCTAGATTCAATTAGATCTACCCCACCAGGATATATTGAAAGTTGCCAATAATTAACATTCAAATAATTTCCCTGTGTGTTCTGAATCCAAATAAGCATATTTCCCTTTGCAGCTAACGAATTTCAACAGGAAACAAAAGAAAGCCTGTGACTGGTATAAAATGCATTATTTTTCATATAATATACAATTTTGAGTGGGGTTAAGACCTTTCTCAAAAATTGCCTGACAAGAATACTAGTATTGGCTTGTGGAAAAAGAAACACACAGGAAGGAAAAACAGAGATTAACCTTTGACTGCCATCAAGGGGTAGGTGTGAAAAAGGTAGAAAGGAGAGAATGATGGGGAATCTTGGATAATGACAGTTTTCTGAAAACATTTTTTTGTACAATTCTGACTTTGATATTAATGTTTCACATGTTCAAACTAAATAGAGACAGAGAGAAAAATAAAATTAACAAGAGTAGAGAAACCCCTTAAAATGCAACACAAACAAAAATAAAATAGCCAAAACTATATTTCCAGTGAATAATATAAACACACTATGGAGTAAGACTAAGAAGAAATGAGCCCATCAATTACACTATATGCCACTGGATTAAAAATGAGAAGAACACAAAAAAAAAATTACTGAACCCTAAAAACAACAGCAACAAAAAAAAAAACAAAAACAAAACAAACAAACAAACAAACAAAAAAAAACACCACAAATGGGATGAGACAAGAAAGCAGAATCTTAAAAGATCTTCCACTCCTCTGCTCTCAGGAGTTTAATTCACTATTGGTAAATACGCTGTGATTCTGTAAAAATTAAAACCAAACTTTACCTTTGTACTTCTTTCCTCCTCTTTTAACATATCTTCCAAGTTGGTTGCTTTCTCTTCAACAGACATAGTTTGCTCAGTTATCTGCTTTAATTTTTTGTTAATAATCTGATTATGATTTTTAATTTTGTGTAACCTAGAGAAGGCACATGAGGAAAACAACAGAAAACAGGTTTTAAAAGTATTTAATGCAACAAATAAGAAATAGTTGGCAATCCTAAGATTTCCTCATGTAACTTGAAAATTTCTTTGCCATAAACCTGTTTATTACCAATATATATTTAATGAGAACTTGCTTTGTGATGAAAAACTCAGGAATTTTTTCAGTTTAATAATTTAGTAACTGTAATTTTAGAGTTATTTAACAAAAAACCCAATATGTAATTTTTTTTCTTGAAGCAATGAAAGACTATAAACTTATTTAAATATCTTTTTCTTCTTACCTTGCTGTTTCTTCCTGAATATCCTTCTTTACTTTGCAAGTATTTTTCCTTAGAGCTTCTAAATCACTGGAACTTCTATTCACAGTGACTTTTAAGGTATCCAGCTATTTATTAGTCAAAAAACAGAAAGTCATATATTTATATCATATAAAATACTTTCATTTATGAGAAGTCTTTTGTGAACACTTTAATTTCCAATGTATATCACACACATAAACACAGTAACTATGTTTCTATAATACAGTTTTTCTTTTGGTATAATATTAAATTTTAAATGACTTATAAAATACTGAGTGTTAAAAGCACACTAAAGAAAAAGCACAATATTGGATTTGGAAAATTTCATTAATATGATACCAAAGACACAAGCAACAAGAGAAAAATAGGCAAATTGGATTTCATTGACATTTAAAACTTTTTACATAAAAAAGTAATTTCAACAGAGTAAAAATCTATTTAATAGGATGAAAGAAGATATTTGTAAATCATGTGTCTGATAATGGTTAAATATCCATAACACATGGGTAACTCCTAAAATTCAATAATAACAACAACAACAAAAAATGTTTCAGAACTGGGGCCTCCCTGGTGGTGCAGGCAGTTGAGCGCAGCACTGTGAAGCTGTCCACAGCCTCTGCAGTGCTGGATCGATCCCCACCGGCCTCAGAGCAACCCACATGGGGAGCAGACCTCTCCTGTCTTGCCCGCTGCTCCCCTCAGCAGTGTATTTCAGTCAGTCTGCCTGTTCTGTTCCCCACTCTGTCTCTGGTGAATCCTCTCACCCTCCCGCGCATCTGGCCTGTACCCGGGTTCTTGTATAAATAAAAATAAACCTTTAAAAAAAAAATGTTTCAGAACTGGGCAAACAACTTGAACAAACATTTCTCCAAATAAGGTTTATAAATGTCCACTAAACAAATGAAAAGATGCTCAATATGACTAATTATTAGGGAAATGTAAATCAAAATTGAAAATGGTGGAAATTAAATACCACCTTACACCTGTTAGGGCAGCCACTATCAAAAAAAAAAGTGTTGGTGAAGATGTGCAGAAATCGTAACCCTTATGCACTGGTGGTAAGAATTCAAACTGGTAAAGCCACAATGGAAAGCAGTATAGCAATTCCTCAAAAAATTAAAAACAGAATTACCATGTGATCAAGCAATTCTAGGATATCTGTATACCCATATTCATAACAACATTATTCATAATAGCTAAAATAAGGAACCAACCCAAGTGTCCACCAAGATGAATGGATAAGCAGGATATGGTTTAAACATACAATGGAATAGTACTCAGCCTTAAAAAGGAAGGAAATTTTGACACATGCTACAACATGTACGAAACTTGAGGACACATGCTAAGTGCAGTCACAAAAAGACAAATGCCATATTATGCCACTTATATGAGGTATTAGGAGTCGCCAAAATCATTGAAATAAAGTTCAATGGTAGTTGCCAGGGGCTGGGAGGAAGGAGGAATGGAGAATTATTGTTTAACGAGTACAGATTTCAGTTTTACAAGAAGAAAAGAGTTATGGAGCTAGATGGTGATGGTGGTTGCACAACATTAGTAATTCATTTAATATCATTCAATTGTACACTTAAAAATGGCTAAGATAGTAAATTACATGTTAATGTGTATTTTACCGTATTAAAAATATTTGGAGAAAAGTATGAAATACTGATACAGGCTACAATATGGATGAAACTTGAAAACATATAAATAAAAGAATCCAGACACAAAAGGTCCCATATTACATGATTTCATTCACATGAAATTTCCAAAATAGGCAAAATCATAGGTACAGAGATTAGCAGTTTCCAGAGGTTGGTAGGCATGGGGGAAGAAGAGTGATTAATAATAGGTGTGAGGCTTCCTTCTGGAGTGACAAAAATATTCGAAAATTAGATAGTGGTGATGGTTGCACAATTCTGTGAATATAATGAAAAAAACTGACTTGTATAACTAAAAAGTATACAAGGGTGAATTATGGTATATGAATTACATCTCAATAAACAAACTGTGGATGGTTGAATTAATTCCTGTATTCTTTTTCTGCAATTGGTTTAAACTTTAAACTTTTCTAAACTTTGAAATATTTTAAAACTATCATAAAATGTATAATATATATAAATGAATAAAAGGTTCTACAATATTCCAGTTTCCCTCTTAAACAGGGATAATTTCAGATAATATGGCTAAAGGCACATATCATAAAAATCCCTTTACTGTTAACAAAGGGCTCACTAAGTCTCCCCTTTGAAATAATCTGGTTGGCATGTATGCCTGCAAAAAAGGGGGAAAAAAGCAGTTTTGTTCTCAGTATCCCTCAAGGAATTTTATCACTATATCGGTATTTTACCACAGAAATATTAATCCTTAATAAGGATTTGAAATATAAAATGACCACGCACATATAGCACTGGAAAGACATTTCAGGTTAACACTAATGTCAATATTCATCTTTGCATTTGCCCATTTGCTTTAAGTAATTATGCTTTATTTGTAGTAAACATAAACAAGTCTTTTTTGTTGACATACCTCATCCTTCAGCTGACTTCTAGTAGTTTCATGGAGCTGATATTCCACTTTACATTTTAAAACTTTACGATCAGCAAGAGAAATTTTTTTCTCAAACTCTGCGTTATTCCCAATCTCACTTTCCAAAAACTTGATCTTTTCCTTAACCAAAGTCTCTTTTTCTCTTGTTTCCTGTTTTATCCTTGCTAATTCCTGGGATTAAAAGAATACATTAAATATATTTAATATGACAAAACCAAAACTAAAAGGAATTTAGTTATTTTTCTATCATATTCAGTACATCTTTTACCAAAATTTCTTATCAGAATATTATTTAAGGACAGCCTATTTTTATATGAATAAAAACAAAATACTGGTATTGCACACACAAATATCTATAAGTTCATATTTTTAAAGGTCTCTGTTTTCTTTCATTTACCTGTACTTTGTTAAAAAATGAAAAAATTCAATGTTTTATAAACAACAGACACAATTTAAACAGTTTTCAAAACAAAGTTAAATATTTTTCAATACAAAGTTGGATTTCAATGTAGTTTTACAACTATTTCACCAGGTTTTTTCATCTTTTGAGAATAACACTCCAGTTATTGATTTCAATAGGAATGCCTTCTTCACTCAAGACTTTTGCTAGTCTTAGCAATACAAAACAAACTGAACACACAAATTAACTGAGATGTACACAAAGTACAGTGGGAACAAAGAAATGATGATGTCTACTCAAAGGGGTCCTAAGAGGTATTACCTGAGATACTTTGAGTCAGGCCTAAAAAATAAAGGCAGAGGCAGAAGCACACTAATGTGGTTAAAGTATAGGGTAGAAAAGGAATGGGGTTATATTAAGAAGTGGGTACCAATGGAAAGGGAGAAAATGGAAAGGTAGAGCTTAAGAGTCAAATTCAAATGCCAGGTTAAAGACGACCAACTCTGAACCAATGTGGAGCAAAAAAGATTTTTAAAAGATCATATGTGATTTTTACAAATAACTCTGATGACAATATGTTGAGTGGATTGGAGGGGGAAAGGAAAAATTACCCTAAAATGTATTTTTTTCAAGTTTTCCAATATGCAGACCCACCAAACAACTAACCCCCAGGAGTTTGCATGAGGGGACAGTATGTATTGAATATCATTAAGTTTTAGAAATACTGTGTTTAATGTTATGCATATTAGCATATTAAATGAATATAAATCTGAGATGCAGTGTATTTTTAAAATATATAAAATATGTTTATCTAGTATTCCCAGATTCTTTCTATAACAACTTTTTATAATTACAGCTTTCTATCTACTTAATGTTTTCATTTAACCAAAGGACATTCAATCTCAGAACATTCTAAGTTTACATATTTCAAATGGTCACCCTAGAATCTCCTGCTTAAGCTAATTTATCTGCCACTTACTCAGATGCTTTAATACCTACTTCAACGTTTATATTTTTGGACAGTGCTACCTATTCACATTTAAGTTTCCATATAGGTGATACTTATAAACAATATCCAAAAATTCCAACACTTGAATAAATATATAATAGAAAAATATTTTTCTAAGTATTATAAATTTTTTTTTTTAATCTTATGAAAGTTTCGTTTTAAGAGTCAATTTCAGATTATACAGTTAGATTCCCACCAAGACAGAATCAGAGAAGGCAGGGCACTACTTTGGAGGAAGAGAGACAAAAGGATCCAATCTCAGATTAAATCCTTTAGTGTTGTGAACCAGCTCTCACTGGCTCATCAGAACTGACTTACACATCTCTTAAGTCTGTGTTCAGTTGAGTCATTTTCGTATGGAAACAGTTTCACAAAGAAATCAGAAATGCCACAAATTGTGGGGAAGAGTGGCAGATAATGGTGTTTCTTCCATTTTGTTTTGATCTCAGAGAGCCAAATGTTAAATACATAGAAGCAAACCATATCTGCTCTATGAAAACACTTCTTACCACCCTCCCTAGTCTTTTACAATGTAAATGACAGGGAAGTCAATCCAAAAATGGGAAACCACTAGTTGTGTGTTCTGCCAAATCAGAAAACTGAGTCAATTTAGCTCTGGGGTTATATTAGAATGCAGTGTGGATCTGCAATCTTGGATCTGGAACAAGTGAATTACACAGAGGAGGCAGTTAGGATTTGAGTGTGAAAAGAGTAAAAAGTCAAGAAAAAGAAGCCGGGCCTCCCGGGTGGCACAGAGGTTGAGCGCTGGGCTGCGAAGCTGCCCACAGCCTCTGCAGCGCCGGTTCCATCCCTGGCAGCTGGGTGAGGGTCCCACATGGCGCGACAGACCTCGCCTGCCACAGCCGCTGCTCCCCTCAGCAGTGTATTTCGTCAGTCTACCTGTTCTGTTTCCCGCTCTGGCTCTGGTGAATTCTCTCACCCTCCCGTGCTTCTGACTGTACCCAGTGTTTGTATAAATAAATAAATAAATCTTAAAAAAAAAAAAAAAGAAGCCAACATCAGAATTAAGAATTAAAAGGAATTCATAGGTATGATGGTTCTCCCTTGTCCCTCCTAACCCATTTTGTTCATAAAATATTGAACGCTTGCAGAAATTTAAATTAAAAGTATCAAAAGTGAACCAAATCCAACTATCAGAATCCCAAATTCCCAGTGATTGCTTGCAAAATGCCTTTCCATGGAGTAGAATCAGAATGGAATTTAATACAGCTTCTTCATCTGTCCTTCTACTTCCAATTCTCCTTATCTTTGCAGTTTGACTGGCCATTATTTCTCTGCTTAAGGATTCCCCCCAAAAGTTCTTCTACATTGCTTCTGGAAAAAGCCAAAAATAGCACTAAATCTGTGTTGAACACTGCAGTATTCTTCCCCTTCCCAATTTCTACCCCACTATTGCTGTCTCAGCTTCAAAAGTGAAACTTTATTACACTCTATGTTTCTTTCCTTTTCCTTCACTGTATGAGATTTACTACCAAAACCAAGACACCTATAAAAATAATATATAAGTCAGGGCACTGAATTTCCTTCAACAACATTATCTGTTGACTTTGTCTTGTTGCACATTTCAGCAAAGGCAGGATCCAGTCTTTGGCATTATAATAATACCATAAATAATCTTCCTGAAATCATACTTTTAAATGGATATAGAGTTAGCATTGAAAAACATTTACCAAAACTATGGAATGCAACAAAAGTGACTTTCAGATAACAATGTGATTTACATTTCAAATGAATGTGTTAAGAATAGAACAGGTAAATACAGCTGAACATTGTGAAAAACAGACAACTTTACCAAGGCACAGTTATCTATGTCTTTATCTCTCTTCTGCATCTGTTCTATTGTGTTCTCCCACTGTTTAATGAGTTCTTGTCTTTCATTATGAATCTTACGGAAATCTTGTGCTGCTTTATCCAATTCTAACTGTCAAATAGAAAGCAAATAACATTTCTGTGAATTTAAGTGCATTTGCAAACAGAATCTAGACAGTTAAGAAAGAAAGAAAATTCTTCACTAAACCAACCTGTGCACTTAAAGTCTCTGTAAGTTCATTATCAAGCACCTTTCTTCTCTGATTACATTCCAACGTCAGTTTTTCTAATTGCAAATTTAGTGCCTATAATATAATTACAAACAAAAATATTTACAATTATTGTTTTATTAATTTAAAAGCTGTTAGCATATCTCACATTAAGTATTATTATAGGCATATATTTACTTGATATGTAAATCAACTATAAAATAATTTGTACATAATATATCTTTTAACCCCAAAAGGTTAATCTAATATATAGTGGCAATGAAAAATCAATTGTTTTTGAAAAGACTTTCTGTAATTTTCAAAGTTGGAAAAAAAAGAGAGAGCAATAACTTGCCATTTAAAATTATTTAAAATGATGCATTTGGTATTAAATCTACAAGAATTTTATAATACTAAAATATTACTAGATTTGATTACAAGTAGATTTTAAGTAATGGTTATAATATATTAAATAATTGCTAGGGGCTTCCCCGGTGGCGCAGCGGTTGAGCACTGGGTTGCGAAGCTGCCCGCAGCCTCTGCGGCTCCGGTTCGATCCCCGGCTGCTCCCCGGCCACTGGAGGAGGGTCCCACATGGCGCGCAGACCTCTCCTGCCGCCCGCTGCTCCCCTCAGCAGTGTACTTCGGTCCTTCTGCCTGCTCTGCTCCCCGCTCTGGCTCTGGTGAATTCTCTCACCCTCCCACGCTTCTGACTGTACCCAGTGCATGTATAAACCAAACAAAAACAAATAAATAAATAAGACATGCCTCTAGAAAAATTAAAAATAAATAAATAAATAAATAAATAATTGCTAACAGTATAGTCTCAATTCAGCAAACTACTTGTAATATTCAAACTATCATTTACACCAAAAAAAATTATATCTAGTTCTAGCATAAATCTTTCCTTTCTGGTGTCACTTCAGTTTAAAAAACAGACAGATGCTTGCTTTTTATATTAAACAACTCTTCTCAATCAGAATTCTTAACCTGGAGTCCACTGATTTCTACATGACCAAAAGGCTTCAGATTTTCAACAAAATTTTGTTAGCCTGAGTACAGTGCAGGTTTCTAGTCACTTTCTAGAGAGAGGATGCTTGGCTTTAATAGACTCTCAAAGGAGACCCTGACGTAAAACAAATCTTAATAACTACTGCTTTAAAATTACTAAGTCCAATTTAGGTAAAAAGCTTGACATACTATACAAATTCAGAGAAAAACTAACATTACAGTTTATAATTTCTCACCCTAATTTTATTATCATCTTGTTGTGCATACTTCTGAAGAGTGAGGGCATCACTGTCTTTATGAACTGATTCTTCTAACCAGGCCTCCAGAGCTTGCTGGTCCCAATTCATTTGACATTTCAAACCATCCAATTTTTGAGTATTTTTAAATATGCTGTTCTAATTTCCAAAGAGAGAAGGTAAAGGGAAGATTACAAAACATCATTTATGATATAAACAAAAATAAAACATAATACACTACATGCTGTACTAAAAAAATAAGACAAAATCTTGTCCCTGCCAACCACACATATATAACAAACCACATTGTTGCTGGGTTCTGGGGTTCCTGAATTTGAGGGTTCCTCATTTCTTGACTGTGGTGTGAAAAGAATTCATAGCCACATCTTTAGCAGAAACAAAAGCAAAATTTACTTAGAGACAGAATAAAAGGACACTTAGGAGAGGTCCCTGGGCAGCAGAGTCATTGGTAAGAACACTGTGAGGGGATTGTGGGGGCTCTGGCCTTAAATGGGGTGCAAGAACTGTTTTCTCTGTCCCCTTTTACAGTGCTCTGTGCGAGCTCTCCCAGGGTGTAGTTTTATCAGCCCAGGAAGCAGTTTGGGGCCAGGGAGAATATTAGGACTGAGTTACCATGGCGTCAAGCTGCTCTGCCCTCCCCTTGGGCAATCTCATTAGTTACTCCACCAAATTACCATGAGTATATGAGCAATCTTAGTAAGACTATTGTGCTTCATATGCTAACTCAAGACCAAGACAACTCTCCTTCAGCACCATTTCCAATCAGATTGCTGCATTTAAGAAACTTCTTATTTAGAAATTTTAGAAGCACTTCTAATTGAAATAGTCACTGAGATAAAAAAAATTTCTGTAAATGTATTCATTTAACAAAATTGAATTCATAAAAAGAAAACAGACCAATGCAAATACAAATTAATGTAATAAATTATATATGTATATGTCCAGGTACATAAATACACATGTACATGCATTGCCATAGGTATAATATATGGAATATATTATATACTATATATGAAATATATAGTATATAATATAATGATTATATATTTATTTATTCCAATATATTTATTATTAATAATAAAATAATATGCTATATAATTACATATAGTGTATAGTGTATAATATAAAATATTACATATATTACATATTCATTATGAATATGTAATATATGTAATATGTAATAAAGGAATATTCATAATATATGAATAACAGCATATATGAATATGTAAAGAAAAGAATCAGAATTTGGAAAGAGCTCCCAAATCAGGTAACAAAAAGCAAAGTAAAGGAGAAAAATAGGTTACAGTAGTCTAATGTTAGAATCAAGAGCTTATAAATTAATGAAAGGTTATTTTAAAAATTTGAACTATTTATTTTATTAAGTTAACAAACATCACTTCTACTGTATGTTACCATACCATGTCTGTCACTAAAGCACCAATAAAGGGTAAAAATTCTTAATAAAAGTCAAAATTACAGTGATTTTTAAGATTTTTAAAATATAGCATTTTAGAATAAATTTCCCTAGTATTTAATAACAGCTCAGAAAATATTTGGTAAATGAATACTAGAAAACTAAAGTAACATTCAATCATTGTCTCATTCAAATCACAACTCCTATGTGCCTTTTATTGCCCAGAAAACAATGTATGTAAATGTCAGGAAACCAATGAATGCTTTCTTATACAGGAAAAAAATATATCAATGCATGTTTGGTGAGGAAAGAGGATGAACCGCACAAAACTTTAGGTAATATTTCAACGCAAACTTGTAAAATGAAATCAACAACGAAAAGGGTGTCCCTCTCTCCCTAATCTCAACTAGGGGCACAAGTCAAAACACCAAGGCAAAGCTGTAACCGCCTTGTTAAAAGCTGTGTCAACAACCAAAGAGTTGTCTCCAAGCAAATCAGTAACTTCAAATAAAGACTGATTTCTCAAAGTTTAAGGCATTGCTAAAACTCCCATTTCCTAGAAGATAGGTTCTAAATAGTATAAATCATAATAATCCTCCATATTTTCCTCAACGCACAGAGTATATCAAATTAAACAGGCACCTGCCCAGATTGCCTGTAAAAAATCCTTAAAAAATGTTTTTTTTCGGGTCTCCCTGGTGGCACAGGGGTTAAAGACATAGTGCTATCAAGCCTTGCCAACCACTGCAACATGAGACACAAGTTCCATCCCCTGGCCAGGTTGCTGACCCACATGCCTAGCAGACTGCGCCTGTCTTACCCGCCACTCCCCTCAGCAGTGTATTTCAGTCTATCTGCTTGCTCTGCTCCCCACTCTGTCTCTGGTGAATCCTCTCACCTCCCAACACCTCTGGCCTGTACCCCAGTTCTTGCATGCATAAATAAATAAATCTTTTTTAAAAAATGTTTTTCTTGCTGACTATATAGTTTCATTGTGAGATTCAGAACTTGGATAGCTTTCCCTAGCTATCTGCAGACTGTGCCTTGGAGTCCTCTGCTTGGTTCTTTAATCAACCACTAGCTTTTGCTTGCCTTAATTTATTTAAGCCAACATACTTCCTTATCACTTTTCTTTTCCTGTATTGAAGCCATCTCATTTTCCAATCGTTGGATTTCCTCTTTCACTCTTCCCAGTTCTCTTTCAGCAATAATCGTAAAATGTTCTTCACTTTCAATCTCATTGTCCCTGGCTTTGCAAAGAGACTGGAGTAACAAACAAGAAAGAAAACGTTTTAAAATTTTAATATTATGAAACATTTACAATAATTCATTAGGTTAAAAAAAGGAAGTTTCCACAAAATACTTAAATGCTATTCATTCCACTACTTTAATACTCTGCATTAGACTCCAATTCTATGTAGTTGGTGTTGGTTACTAGTTATAAGAAAGTTAGCTCATGATTATGCTAGGAGTAAATATTATTATTATCAGCAGTATTCAAATATTATGTTAGTCTAGTGAAATTATTTAAAACCTAAGTTTATATGGTGAGACTTGCATACTATAACTCATTACTTAATCTAAAATTAAGAATGAAAATGACTAAAATATAGTTGGGAGAAACGGAATGCTATATATGAACTGATGTAAATGTTGATAGCTATAAATATTTCCTACAATATATAAACAGTCATTACTTTTTGTTAACTTTTGCTTAATAGCTTTCTTGACTACTGATCTTGAAATATTTCAAAATTCCACCATCATTATATTTTTAGTCCTAAAGACATTAGTGCTATAGAAAGCTGTTGTCTTTTGTCTCCATTATCCTATTTAACTGAGGGTTGACTATAATGAAATACACCTACAGAGTGTCTCTCAAATATTCAACTCAGTGGTTTCATAACTTGAGGAAAAGATGTTATTCCAACAGTTTATTAGTCATTCAGTTATAAAAGGATCAAGAACCCTGAGTATTGTTTTTAAATTCATTAAATTTGTAACTTTCCCATAAAATGTGCAAACCATGAAATACTAAATCTATGTTAATCTAAAGTTGGGATATTAAAAACATCGCTTTGTTCATTTTTTAAAATTATATATTTATTCTCTGAAAGGTAAATGCATTTTTTGGAAAAATAGTTTGAGATGGAAGTTAGTAAACTCTTCAATGCTAATATTGCTGAGCTTTGTCATTTGCTGGGCATCAGCAAGAAGTGAGGCTCTGTTATAGGGTAGGAAGAGGGCACCCCAGAATCCCCAAACCTGCCCGCTCTAAATAGGTTTTGCCATTTGCCACATTAAGACAAAACATACTCTAGTGCATCCGACCCTCAATGGAAATGGACTTTAATACAACCAGTGTGCAATACAGAAATAGAGAAGAATATAGTTTCCAAATCATGTACCCAAAGTTACCCATCCCCTCATGGGTAAATACCCAGCCAATCAGGGTTGGCCCAAAGCAGGGCCACTGAGGCCCAAAAGCCTGCTACAAGTCCAAGTTACTTTCTGGTGGGGACCCACAGAAAAGGGTCAGAAACAGCCAGACAAGTCCGGAAGGAAAAGAGCAAAATCAAAATCAAGAAGAAAGTTGCCATTGTTATCCTCCCGCAGATCTCTCACCCACATCTGCTTATCTGCTTTAACCAAGCCAGGACCAAAAAGCAAGAGGTTTCTTCATGTGTCTCTCTGCTCCATGTGCCTCCTTCAGGTCTCCTTCTGGCTCTCCTTCCTCCTTTCTTCCCTTCTCCAGGCTCACCTCCATCTTCTTCTCTCAGATCAGGAAGCACACTGTTTGAAGGGTAACCTTGGGCTGTACGATATTGGATGAGTTACCCAACCCAACTTCTCTGCACCTCAGTTTCCCTATCTGCATGGGTTTTGTAACAGGGTGGTCCCCAGAAAAAGGGGAGGCTCCAGGTTCCCTGCCCCATCCAAGAAAGGGTAGAGCTGAGCAGGGAGGGAGAAGAAGCTGGAGAGAAGACTGGAGAAAGAGATGTGAAGAAACTGTGCTTGCTTCTTGGTCCTGGACTAGATGAGACAGACGTGGGTGAGAGACCCGGGGGGAGGTTAATGATGGCAGATTCTATCTTGATTTTGATTTTGCTCTTTTCCTTCCAGAATATTCTGGCCCCTTCTGCCCCTTTCCTATGGGTCCCACCAGAAAACAAAACATCCAATGGACCACAAAAATAATCTATAATATAGTAATCTCATAGACTTGTGGCAGGCTTTTGGGCCTTGCTTTGGGCCAAACTTGTTTGGCTGGACATTTACCCATAAGGGGGTGGGTAACTTTGGGTGCTTGATTTGGAAACTATATTCTTACCCCTTTCTTTATTGCACACTAATTGTATTAAAGTTCCTTTCCACTGAAGGTCTTATATGCTTTGTCTCCACGCTGTGGATGGCAGAACCCATTTAGAGCAGACTGGGGTGCCCCTCTCCCTGTTGTACAACAGCTCTACACATAAACAGATTGTCCATAAAATAGATGCTTATTTAATCACTCTAAGTATTACTTTTATTATGTGTTAATATTTGTAAAATGCATTATAGTTTCCCCAATTATCTCAAACAGTCTCCTAAATACAATTAGCTTTTCTATCATTATTTTTTTTAATTTTTAAACTATGCTAAAATGCTCTGATGCCCTAAGTGCTACTGGAGCATATGAACAGTTTGCCTCTACTCAAAATGGCCAAGTGGGTTGTGGTGAAAAATTAAATAAATATGTGTTACGTTAGATCAGTTTCTGCTTCAAGTCATCATTTCTCACTGCCATCATTGCAGCTCTTGCATATAAGCTGTTGCCTGTTACATTAGCCTGTTTCAATGATGATTCCTCTTTTCAATAAATTAATTACTGCGTAAACTAGTAAGCAGTGAGTTCTTCAAAGTTCCTTTTTTTCTACCTAATTTCAAGTTCAAGATTATATTCACAACAGTTTATTTAAAGTTTACTTTTATAGCTCTAAAATAAAATCAGAGATGTAATGTGAAATGCTCCATGATTTTAACATTACTGTACCTGTGTAAATGAGAACTCTTGCTTAACATTTTTGAAGTGAGCAGTCATAGAATTGATTCGATCTTCATAGTCACGAAGCTGCTCTTGTAAGTTTGATCTTTCCTCCTGCAGCTTTGACAACTATAAATAAATGTTATGATTAATTCACATCCTGCAAAGTTTTTTTTAACCATAATGGAAGCTCTAGAATCAAATAATAATTAAATCTTCATTTACTTTGCCTCTTCACATATTCATTTGAACTTCTAAAATCTACCAGCTAACTGGAGTTATTGTTTCTTTTTTTTTTTTAAAGATTTATTTATTTATTTATACAAGCCCTGGGTACAGTCAGAAGTGCGGGAGGGTGAGAGAATTCACCAGAGCCAGAAACAGAACAGGCGGAATGACGAAATACACTGCTGAAGGGAGCAGTGGGCGCGGCAGGAGAGGTCTGTCTTGCCATGTGGGACCCTCGCTGGCGACCAGGGACTGAACTGGTGTTGCAGAGGCTGCGGGAATCTTCACAGCCCAGTGCTCAATTGCTGCGCCACCAGGGGAGGCCCTGGAATTATTGTTTCTTAAGATAACAGTGGTTTACAGCACTGTATATGATTTAGGGATACATATTCACAACCAAATTACCACAAAACAAAGCTGACAGGCTCTGAAAGATACACTAACAACTATCATACACAACAGGAGCAATGGTCTTGCAGATAGCAGTAGAAAACTATGTTTAGTAATACATGAAGAAAAGAGTAAAAAATATGACCCATCAGAATAATTTTGAGAACAAACCATCCAGTGGACCACAAAAATAATCTATAATATAGTAATCTCATCAGAACTTTCTAACAAAAATTAATGGAAGTTCTGTGCTAGATAATGGAAATGGAGCCTAAACAAAATGTAAATAGATGTCAAAAATTAAAAGACAAAGGCAAACTAAAAAAAAAAAATTCAGTTACAATATGTCAATAAGTACTTCTGTCTCAGTAATTACCATAAATGTAAATGGGTTGGAGTCACCAATTGAAAGGTATAGAGTAGTTGGATAAATTTAAAAAAAAAATCCTACCTTCTTCTCTTTACAAGAAACTCATCTTACCAACAAAGAAAAGCACAGAGTTAGAGGTAAAGGCTGGAAATATATATATATGTATATATATATATCATATATATATGTATATATATATATGTATGTTTTCAAGTGCATGTGAAATCTTTTAAAGATAGACCACATGCTCTGACACAAGTCATTGTCAATAAAAATACAAAGATTACAATCATACCAAGTACTCTTACTAACAATATTGTCATAAAGCTAGAAATCAACTATTTCAAAAAGTGAAAAACCATTAATACATGAAAATAAACATCATTCTGCTTAATAGCTATTGAATTAAAGAGGAAATTAAAGAGAAAAAACACCTCAAGACAAATGAAAACATAAGCTCTCAGAATTTATGGGATGCAGCAAAAGTGGTCTTAAGAAGGTAACTAATTGCAATACAACTCAACATTAAGAAGCAAGAAAAATATGAAATAACACCTTAATATTATGCCTAAAAGCAACTTAAAAAAGAGAAACAAATGACCAAATATTAAGAGAAGGTAAGAAAAAATAAAAATAAGCATAAAAAAATGAAATGGAAATCAAAAATATATACCAAGCTTATTCAATTTCACAATAAAAAAATCAAACAACTCAATTGTCTACCTGAATATTTTTTCCTAAATTTAGAAGGGAAATAGAGTGAAACAACATGCACATAAGATGTCCTTTTGCATGTTATTTATACAAATTATGAATATAGGACATGGGAGATCTAAAAGAAAATGATGCAAAAATTAATAAAATAATAATTTCAATATTTCTAATTTTAAAAAATATGAAAATAATAAAACCACTGATTTTAATGGACTATAAGAAAATAGAATGAAATCTAAGAGAGCTATTTAAAGAGGAAAGCTTTAAAGAGCAGGAAGTCAATCAACACTATCTACAAGCAGGGCCTCCCTCATGGCCTAAGTGGTTAAGAGCAGCACTACAAAGCTATCCGCAGTCACTGGAGGGCACGAGTTCTATCTCTGACCAGGGAGCTACCCACATGGTGCAGCAGACCTCTCCTGTCTCACCCGCTGCTCCCCTCAGCAGTGTATCTCAGTACATCTGCCTGTTCTGTTCCCCACTCTGTCTCTGGTGAATCCTCTCACCCCCGTATCTCAGGCCTGCACCCCAGCTCTTGTATGCATAAATACATTAATCTTAAAAAAAAAATACTACCTACAAGCAAAACCATTTTTTCAACAATAATATAACCATTTCCTTTTCATCTTTTGTAGTTTTGTTTCTTAAAGAAAAATTTTTAGCAGTCTCTTGTGATCAAGTAACACCTTAAGTTTAACATTCCCTTTCTTTTTTCTTCTTTTAAATAACAAGTGAATTAAATATTTTTATGTTTAAACAGCACATATAGTAGATTCCACTCTTCTAATACTCCTATTTGTCTTCTTTCTTTGTAATCTACAGATTGCAATGTCTAAAATATTTCCTTAAAGACATCATAATCAACTTCTACAGTCCACAGTGTGTACTTTTGGGAAGGAACATCTTACATTATTTATACCTTTCTGTTTGCTAATGGTAAACAGGACCTGAAACCAGGGTTGCATACTTGTTATTATTCCTCAGTATATACTCACTGCCAAATCTCTTGTATTTCCTAATGTCGCCCTTCATTGAAAAAACTAAAACTACAACCTCGAGTAAACAGAGCATTAGTAAAGAGACATGAATTGTCAGAATATTCTGAATTTTTTTTTTTTTTTTCAAAAATAGAATGAAGGGAACCTCGTTTTCATTCGTACAGAGAAAAGCTTCTCTTCCATTCAATAAAACAGTGTAAACACCATTTGTATCTTCTTGGACTCGTCCACACAACACTCTGCCATGTGATGGAACTTTAGGGTGCTGACGTTTTTATTTGATTTCTGAGCAGATTGCAACTTTATTTTTATTAACTCCGATACATTCATTGCAAACTAGTGTGTAGGTCCTTCCAGTGCTTTACAACGTGGTAGATACTCTGCAAACTGCACATTTTACGTTCATCCAGAAGGTGCCTCTTGGAAACTTATCTTCAACTTACTTTAAATTTTAAACATAATAGGCAGAAACTCACAAAGAAATTTCAACTAGAACGTGTTTTGTGTGTGGACATTCGCAAACAGCTGTTGTTAAGAAAACCTCTGCAGTCCCTTTGCAAGCTATGCTTAATTCTTAAGAAGGGAAACGTGTGCGCAGGAACCAGCCTGTTCTCTCTTGTTGAACAGGCTGGGGATGTGTAAGAGGAAAGCAGGAGAGAATAAAGATTCTGAGTCGGAAAGGAGAGAAATGGAAGGGTTGGGGTATTCCTGTGAAGGAGAAAATGCCCCCACACTTCCCTGCCAACAGACCTTCACGCGATCCTAACCTGATCCTCCAGTCTCCTGTTCTCCTCGTTTGCCACCGGAATGGCGAACCCATCCTCCCAGTGCAGTTCTGCCAGGAACTCGCTACTCATGATGGCACAGAACAGCAGAAAGATCCACCTTCGGGCACTCTGAAACAGCACCCAAGGCACCCCCGCTAGGCGCTGGAAAGGCTGAGCTGCAGCAGCCACGGGAGCCCTAGCAACCGTCCGCGCCCTTAGTTACCAAACAGGAAGCGCTCCGCCTGGAAACCAATTTCCGGTTAAGCAGTATCTCCCAGGCGTTCTTTTCCTTCTTGAGCGGGGCGAGAGGTGCAAAGCGCAGTGGCGAGCGCTGAGTTAATAAGGCAACCCACTTGGGCTGCAGACCTCTCGTGACTCGCCCGCTGCTGCTCCCCTCGGAGTGTATTTCAGTCACTCTGCCTCTGCTGTCCCCCACTCTGTCTCTGGAGGATCCTCTCACCCCCTCCCCCCGCATCTCCTGGCCTGTACCCCAGGCCATGCATAAATAAATAATAACTGGTATGCATAAATAAATAACTCTTTAAAAAAAAAAAAAAGCACCTGCATACTTTCCCCTCAAAGCACGTCTCAAAGACTCATGCACGTGGTGTTTGTTGAGGTTGTGTAGCTGCAGTCTCATAGGCCGAAGTGGACTGAAGCAGAAATCACTCCTGGCTGTTATGATCTTCCTCTGTTTTATCTTTTTGTTATAGGACAGGGAAAGGGGCAGCCCAAACCCCGCAAACCTGCCTATCCTAAATGGGTTCTGCCATCCGCCGCATCAACACAAAACATAGGAGACTTTAATGAAAAGGAACTTTAATAAAACTAGGAAACAATACAGGAAAGGCAAAGAATCTAGTTTCTAAATGAAGCACCCAAAGTTACCGTCCCTCGTGGGTAAAAGTCCATCCAAATGGAATTGGCCCAGAGCAAGGCCCCAAGGCCTGCCACAAGTCTAAAGCATCTTCCAGTGGGGACCCACAGAAAAGAGTCACAAACAACCGGACAAGCGCGGAAGGAAAAGAGCACAATCAACATCAAGATAAAAGCTGCCATTGTTTGTGTTTTTACATCAGTTGAACCATTTTAACATTTTTTTCCTGTAATTTTTACATATCTGCTGTCTTGTTTTGGTTAACGCCTCCAGATTTTTTTTTTTGGCTTAAACTGATGAACTATTTTTCCTGTAGTGGAGGACTTTTGCTTTCCACAATGGACAAATACCTGGAGAGACTGGTTTTCTTTCACACTGGAACCTGACAAAATGTTCATCTGAGACTGCATCCCAACCTCCATATATTCGATCTTCATCACCATGGAAATGGTGGCAACAAGTGAAAGGGGGGAATTGTTAGGGAGAAAAGGATGTCCCAAAGCAAATTCCATATAGGCTTTGTGGACTCCACCCCCACCCCAGGTCAAAGCCAAAGACACTGGGAACTCCAAATCCCATCACCACCAAAGGGAAGGTGGCTGGGACCTGAGGGTGGGGTTAAGCAGCCAGGTGGATACAAAAGGCAGACACGTGGGCTTTGGGGGGCTCTCCATTTTTGGCTCTCGGCCAGCTCGCAGCATCCGGCCAGCTCGGAGAGTGACTTTGGGTTTCCAGGTCATCGGATCAGGTAGGATGCATTAAAGACTTTATTTCCCTATTTTCTCCCTGAGTTGTACATTTTCCTTATTTCTTTTTCTCTTGTAAATAAACCTTTTATTAACCCTTTTGCGTGTGTCTGTAGTAGAGTATTCATAAGTCCCTTTAAAGCGCGCGGGTGAGGACCCACAGCCAGGAACCCGTTTAATATCGGGGTTGCTCTATAACATTTTCGCCTTCCTCGAAAGGCTCCTCTGCCCCTTTGCAGGCTGCGCTGAGATGGCAGTTGGGTGGGCCTCCCCGCGCCACGCCTACATTTATTTTAATGTAAGTTTCCTTTGTTAAATTAACATTTACAGATCCTGGATTTAGCATGAAAAATGTCTTTCTAATCTCATAAACAGGCTAGGAAATACTGAGATGGCATTATCAAAAAGCATTATTTTGCTTGAAGATGCTCCTCTCCACTTTAGACTGGCAAACTCTTCACCAGTCACGAATTTGAATTACCTCCTTGGCACTGGTAGACCTTTGAGATTATAACCTCTGTTGAATAGCATTTTAGAACTTTGAAGGATGAAAAAATAAACTAATTTAATTCTTTTAATTTTCTCAGTAAATGAACTGAGGCTCACTGAGGTGAAATGATTTTAAAAGACAGGATCTAAACTAAAATAAAGTCTCCTAATTCAAACTGCCCTTTCAATGAGGGGTGTTGACTAGAATACCCTCTATTGCTTGGTGAAAATCAATTAATTAACTGAGCTTATCCAATAAGCAACTATCTGTAACTTTATATATATTTTTTTGCCCTTTTGAATTTTATTATGCCTGTACTGGACCTCCATATCCTCTTTTTTTTTTTAAGATTTATTTTTATTTATTTATACAAGCACTGGGTACAGTCAGAAGCACAGGAGGGTGAGAGAATTCACCAGAGCCAGAGGGGGGAGCAGAGCAGGCAGAAGGGCCAAAGTACACTGCTGAGGGGAGCAGTGGGCGGCAGGAGAGGTCTGCGCGCCACGTGGGACCCTCCTCCGGTGGCCGGGGAGCAGCTGGGGATCAAACCGGCGCTGCAGAGGCTGCAGGCAGCTTCGCAACCCAGCGCTCAACCACTACACCACCAGGGAGGCCCATATCCTCTTTTTTTTGTATTATTTTTTATCAAGGTTACATTGGTCTACAGCGCTGCATATGATTCAGAATTACAGGTTCACACTTCTTCAGATGTATGTATATTACTGTAACAGGGTGGTCCCCAGGAAAGGGGGAGGTTCCCTGCCCCACCCAAGGGAGGGTGGAGCTGAGCAGGAAGAGGAGAAGCTACAGAAGAGACTGAGGAAGGAAGCAGGATGGAGCAAGGAGACCTGGAGGAGGCGCATGGAGCCTAGAGACACGTGAAGAAACTGTGCTTGTCTTTTGGTCGTGGACTAGGTGACACAGATGTGGGTGAGACCCGTGACACCACCCATAGTCCTTATATATTACTCTTCACCTTGATTTAACCATCATTTTTTGCCATATTAGCTTCATTTATATTTTTTGCTTAAGTACTTTAAAATGTAAACATATTTCACCCTTAAAAATTGAGCATGCATCACAAATGTTTAATATAAACACAGTATCATTACTATACCTAACAAAAATAACAGTTCTTAACTATCATCTAATAACCATTTCATAATCATAACACCTAGCTGTTCTGACAATGTCTTTTTACAGTTGATTAGTTACTATACTTTGAAATCTTATCATAGTTTTGTCTTTTTTGTGCTTACATGGTCTTGCATATATTTTATCTTAAGGACTTAAAGTGTCTTTAAACCTATAATTAGTAAGGCATTTTACTCCTCATTTCCACATCATCCAAAGACTCAACTTGTACAAGGAAGATCATCTTTTATTTATAATTTTAGTCATTCCCAGTAATGAAAAGTTAGTGTCAGCATATGTTAAGATGACATATAATTATTTATACTTTTAATTTGTTGTGGCAATGCTGCTTGTTAAAATTATTAGTGTTGTTACTGTCCATGTGTCTGAAACATCCCCTTTCTAATTTCCCATCCCAGTTTTTAACGTGAATACTGAGGCAGCTGCCTTAGCCTGTGCTAGTCTGTTGATACAGTCCTCTCAGTCTCAGTTGTAACTGCCAAATGCTTGGTTACATCTGTCTTTGCCGGGTTCTCCTCTAGGCCCCACGGACATAAGAAGTCTGACAGTTCAAGCCTTGCAACAAGTACTGTTAGGGGGAAATGATGTCCTGAGCTAATCCCATACAGGCTTTGTGGACTCCACTCCCAGTCCAGACTAAAGCCATCAAGACATTGGGAAAGACAAATCACATCACCACCAAAGGGAAGGTGGCTGGGACCTGAGGGTGGAGTTAAGCAGCCAGGTTGGGTATAAAAACAAAACACGTGGGCCTTGGGGTGGCTCGCTTTCGCTCGCCTCCTGGCTTCACAGCTCCTGGCTTGCAGCCAGCTCTCAGAGTGCCATTTGGGATTCCAGATCGGCAGGTTGGGTAGGACTCGTTTAAAACTTTGTCTCCCACTTTTCTCCCTGAGCTGTACATTTCCTCATTTCCCCTTCCCTTGTAAATAAACCTTTTATTAACCTTTCGCGTGTGCCTGCAGTAAAGCATTGATAAGTCCTTTTAAGCGCGTGGGTGAGGACCCACAGTCAGGCACCCCGTTTTGTATCGGGGCTGCTCTATAACAGTACCATTTCCCATATCTCCAAGATTTTATTTCCTGAATTTCAGGATGATAGTTATATATGTTGAATTTTAGACAAAATGTACATGCTTTCTCTAAATCCTATATTTCTGCCTCAAAATTATATTTGCTTTTCCACCTCATCATATAGCATTCCATGTCACCCATTTCTCACTTTTACAGTTTCAAAACTTCTAGATCATAATTCCATTCTCACTCCATGAGACCTAGGTTTGGAAACAAAACCTAAAATCTTGCAAACCTTGTTGATGACCATGAAATATTCAATTTAATCCCCAAATACTAAAATATGTTACCTTATTGCCACCTCCTTTCCAAATTTATAATATCATCTAAATTAGATTATTCAAGCTGAAATATAGAGGGGTTTTTTGGTTTTGCAAAATTGTGATCTTTGTAAAGTTAAAAAAAAAAAGAAAAAGAAGTATACATATAAAGGAAAAGATATCTGTCACCTACATGCCAATCTCATTCTCAAAAGGTTGCCACTGTTTGTTCAGTATTTAGCCTACCAGCATTATACAAATAAAGTTATAAGTATATACATATATGATTTTTTTCCTTCAGAAACACATTATAAATATTCTTCTGCAAATTGATTTTTTCTTGTAACTATAGTGGTCATGTTTTCATATCAGGTTTTTAAAAGACAGCATAAAATTCAGTGTTATCAATTAATTATAGCTTTTAAACACTACTCTAATGAACATCTCTATATTGCTGTATTTCATCAATACTTGGTACACTTATTTTCAGTTTAAAAATCTCTGAATGCTATGAAATTGGGATGCATCTTTCAGTCAGCGATGTCATATGTTTGGTGAATAAGATAAAATCTTACATGACATATTCTTAGAGGTAAAGTTAATGAA